CAGCGTTTGTTGTCGGTTCTTGCGCTGCGGGAACTGGCTCTGTTCTCTCGTTGGGTGGTTCTTGGAATTCATTTGCTGGTTCTAGTCTCTCGGATGCGGGTTCTAGCGCTGCATTCACCGGTTCTCTCAACTCACCTGCTTCTCTTTGTAATGCATCTGTTGATTGGCTTCGCACACCTGTTTCCTCCTGTACTGTATTTCCCGGTTCTAGATGTTCACCTGTTTGTTCTTGTAACGTGTTCACTTGTTCTGCTGGTTCGCCTCCTTGTATTCCATCTACTATTGGTTCTACTCGGCTCACTTCTTGAATCACGCCTGCTGGTTCTACGGGTTTATCTGCTTGTTCTTGCAATGTGTTTTCCGGTTCAACAGGTTGCATCGGTTCACCCTGTTTTTCTAACATACTGATGGGTTTCATCTGTTCACCGGCTTGTTCCTGCAATGTATTTACCGGTTCTACTCGTTCCCCTTCTTGCTGTATGGCTACTGGTTCTACGAGATCACTCGCTTGTTCCTGTAATGTATTTGTTGCTGCTTCTTGTTTATATGCATCTACCGGTTCAAGTCGTTCACCTTCTTGTATTATAGCCACTGGTTCTACTCGTTCATGCATTTGTTCTTGCAATGTTCCCGTTTCTTGTATTTCACCCGTTATTTCCTGTATTTTAGATGGATCTACTCTCTCACCTTCTTGCACTTGAACCGCAGCTGCCGGTTCTACGTACGGTCCATCCCGTTCGAGTAAATTTGTTATGGGATTCTGTAATGGAGTCTGTGTTTCAAGCCATCCGTTTGCAACTGGTTCTCGTTCTGTGGATCCTGAGGCTCTTTTAACTGTATCTGATGTTCCTGCTTCATCTGATGGGTATCTTGGGTCCAGCAAGTCCGCCGGTTCTTGCGTCTGGTTCACCGGGTTCTCCTTGACGTCTGACGGTGCGAGAGTTTCAGGGACCGTTTCGAGAACCTGTTTATTCTCGTCCTGTGTCTCTGTTTCCATTGGTGTGACTTCGAGAATCTTCATCTGGTCCGGGTTCGTATGAGGGGCTATTGGTTCGTCCGGGTTCGCTGGAGATGCAATTGGTTCGCCCATTTGCTTGTCCTGGGCTTCGGTGCCTTGACTCACGCTGGCAGGTTGTAGGAATCCTTCGGTGCTGTCCTTCGTCTGGAGTTTATCCTGTTCCTCCTTTCCCTTCTGAGACTCGCGGAGGAGGTCCGTCAGGTGCCCCGTCAACATCAGGAGTTCGCTGATGTGGCCGTGGAGCTTCCCTCCGGGCTTCAGGGCTTCGTGTTTCGCGCTGGTGAGGTTCCCTGCGGCGCCTCCTACTTGCTGCTGCTGGGGGTCCTCTCCTCCTTCGCTTACAGGAGGAGTGTCTTTGGTCTTCTTCAGCACTTCCACCACGTCTCGGATTCCTCCTATGAGGTCTCCCAGACGTCCTATGGAATCCTCGATGACGTCCGTGTGGTTGGGAAGTCGGTCCTCTGTGTTTGGGAAGTTCAGCGTCCTCTTCTCTGGGAAGTTCGGTCTCTCTCTTGTTGTTCTGTCCCTTGATTGGAAAGTTCTGTCCCTTGATTGGGAAGTTCGTTCTCTTGTTTGGGAAGTTCTGTCCCCTGATTGGGAAGTTCTGTCCCCTGTTTGGGAAGTTCAGCGTCCTCATGTTTAGGGAGTTCGGTCTCCTCGTGTGTGGGAAGTTTGGTCGTCTGAATCTCCAAATTTTCTTGAGTTTCTAAGGGTCTTGTCACGTCTTGGACTTGTGACATCACCACATCTCCCTGGCTCCCTGACGTGGCACTGTTTTCAATCTCTGCATCGACTTTCGTAGAACCATTATCTGGTTCTGCAATTTGCTCAGCGTCCGTCTTTGTTGTTCCGACGTCGCTACCTTCCACAACCGCCTTTTCGACGTCTGGCGCGATGCTCGGTTGTACCTCCGAAGGCACCTTACTGACGTCGTCCTCAGCCTTGGCCGCACTGCTGCTCGCGGAAGCCTCTCCCTCGCCCTTCGAATCCTGCTGGGCTTCCCCCTCGACTGTAGCGTTTTGCGAGAGTTCCGCCACAGAGCTCTGGTTATTTCCTGCAACATTTATTCCTCCATCTTCAGCCTTCGTCCCATCGGTTAATACTTCGGTCGCATTTCCGCCTTGCATTTTTTCCTCCGAACCACCTTCCGGACTCATACCATCTTCCACCGAGTCTTCTTGTCCTCCGAAGAAATTGAAGATGTTGAAGAAACCATTTTTGTCCTCCTCGGCATCGTCTCCCTGACCCAAACCTCCTTCCGTGCTTTTGTCTTCATCGTAATAGTCCAACAAGGACGGAATGCTGCTCTGTGTATTGCCGCTACTGTTCTCGTCGCGGTAAGAAGGAGCCCAACTTCCCTCGTTAACCTGGGATGTCGCACTTACGTCCTCCTCGTGTCTGTCGTAGATGTGGACTGCCGCGAGAGGTTCCTTTTCCTCGATCCTTTCGCCACTCTCCACGGCGGCAGGGTGGAGGACGGGGGCCGACTGTCCGCCGTATCTCCAGCTGAAGACGAGCACCACCACCAAAGCAACTGCCGTGAGCTTGAGCGCCCTTCTCATGTGGTACTTGGACTTGTTGGGCGAGGGCGAGAGCGACATCCTGGTTCTCTCCCGAGACGCTGACGCCATTCTAGGACTACGTCACTGTGCTTCCGTCGCCTCTCCCCTCCTCGGCAGGCAGAGGAGTCCACGATACCCGAGCAAGGCTTGTTTTAAAACGCTTCCTCGACCAAAATTCTCTATTCTTTTTACCTTTTCTTCTCGTTTTCACTCACGCTTTTGGTTCATTTGTCACTCCGTGTCACCAGTCACACTCGCAAATACTCTCAGACACGTCGTCACTCAGCACTCTTGACTAGTTTCCCCTCGTGTCGAAAGTGCGTGGAGGTGAGACTTCACAGCCACGTCTGAGCTCACACCTGCTACAACACCTGTGCGAGAATATACATATTCCTCGACCCGAAAATGCAAAACGATTTAAATTCATGATGAAACCCAAACGAGAGAATATTTTATTAAAAAAAAAGACCATCTGAGAAATGCTAAAAACGATCTATGATTTATTGCACATTTATATGGAAATACGGCCAGCGATTCAAGCTCCCGCTGTCGGAGCAACGATCACGTGTGTAGTGATACACATGCAACCTGTTGTTTCATGTATTATGAAAGGAGAGCGTCTACATGTGTGCCTTCAACTATGTTTTTATTAATGTCAACTTCTACACGGCACCACATCTTTGTCAGATCCGCCTCCGTTACTCGCAATATCTCGGTGCCTAATACAGGGAAAGCCGCATTATTCGGCGCCTTCGCGCGACATCTAATTCCTGACGGGTTCCACGCTCTACGCTGACAATTCTGCCTCTCTCCTGGTATCGTGTGTTACTGTGTGTATGCATATATACTGTCTATATACTATCTAGAGCAGTCACCATATACTATATAGGGTAGTATACGTGTTCCCCGCTAATAGATAGCCGTATAGTTATATATACGCATACATGTATATAGTATTATTAATATACATATATAATATTATATATATCTGTGACACCCCATCACAATACTGCAATATTATAGCTTGTAGTTACTATACTATATACTAAAACTATATATGTGGAGTTATGTAGTATGTATAGGGTTATTGTATTATATATATACGTATGATAGAAGTATATAGTCTTTTTGTATGTATACTATATATAATATACCATTGGATATATACTGTGATATATGTAATGTAATAGATACTAATCATATTAGTAGTATAGCCCTGATGATATTTCAAGTAATACGTATATATAGTATACACTTGAAGTTGTATACCAACATAGGTATATATACATAGCATAATAGTATAGTTGGTATATATTAAATAAGTATGTATAAGTATAGACTTAGTATATAGCACACAGTATAGTCATACCTGAGATGCCTAGATGAATATAAGTATTTATATATATATTTATAGTATAGTTAGTATACTTAATATACATATATAGGAGTACGTCATTAGTTAGTATATAATATGTTATTATATGAAGGTAGCATAGATGATATATAGTATGTGTAATATATTATATATAGTGAGTTTATAGTATATAATGTATGTAGATATATGGTTAGTAGTATATGTATATATATATATATGTATATGTAAGATGAGGTATTAGTATGTATTGATATTATAGTATTATATATATTTAAAAATTATATTATCTGCTAATATATATGTTATAGAAGTGTATTAATGAAGGGTATATGAGTAGTTATATATATATATATATATATAAGTAGTATATTGTAATATATATATTAAGATAAGTATATCATATGTAATTATATATTAGTATATAGTAATATATAGATAGTATATGTTATATATATATGTGGGTGTGTGGGTGTTGTGTCTTGTGTAGTATATTCTATATATATATATATATATATAAGTAGTCAGTATATTATTATATATGTATAATATATATATAATATGGTATTATACATTGTGTATCCTTTATATCATCTATATCGTATATAAAATATAATATATATATATATATAAATTATATATGAGGTGTATAGTATAGTGTACTATATAAGTATAGTATATATAGAGTTGAGCTATATAAATATATCAATGTAGTACCATATATCACGTATAAATACTGCGTCATGATACGGCTATGTATAGTGTAGTTTAATATATCATCTATATATAAACTATAACTAAGCGTAAGATTATATTGCGCGCTGTTGTGTGCTGGTGTGTGTGAGTAGCATCAATGTGGGCAGATGCTGTTATAGTGACTGTTTGGTGTGTGAATAGCGTGTTGGTTGTACCCACGCCTACGTTCGCTCGTCTGTGATGTTGTTGTGTGTGGTGTGGTGTATGGCAGTTCGCCTGGGTGCAAGACTTGTGTGTCGCGTTCTGTCAGCGTGAAATTACACACGTGGATGTCTTACGTGATGTGCTGCCCGTTTGGTTACCCACGTAGATGGTGGTGTGGATAGGCAAGGATGTTGTGGTGGTATTCCCTAGATACGCTTACTGTTAGGCGGCCGAGTTGACTTTGAGCTCTTTGGTGGGTGTGTGTGTGTGGTCTGTGATCGTGTGAGATAGTCTGTGTGTGCATGAGACCTGTTTGGCCACCAGTAGGTTGTGTGTGTGCTGTGTGTGTGTGTGTGCGGTGTGTGCAGCTCCTTCGCTCGACTCTACCCGGCCTCGCCTCTCTCTGGCGCACTCGCCACATGTGGTGCCTTGGGAACGTGTCACAACGACTCGGCGATGGCCCGTTAATGAGCTATGCGAGAGACGTGAAGAGGTAAGGCAAGATGAGAAGCGGAATATGAACGCGGAAACGCTATGTGGATGAACCTTCGAGCAATGAGCGAGGGAAAACACGAGGAGAATTGGGAATGAGGGAGAAAGAACGAGGAAAGAGCGCGAACTAGATATCTTTATGCTCAGAACCAGCGAAGGATGATGAGGACAAATAGTCAGGTGACATCGAACGGAGGCGTGAGAAATCTGTGAGCCAGAGCGACGCGCCATAAGAGCTTTGGCCGGGGTCGTACATAACGGGGTACGATGTGAGAGGGACCAGAGCAGTAGAGATAAAATTAAGAATATATGATAGAGGGAGAGAAAACAGGAGGAAGAGAGAGAGGTGAGTGAAAGAGGAGAAAAGAGTGAACATTGAGTGAGGTGAACTACGAGAGAAAAGAAATGAGAGAAAGATAACTAATAGCACTATACACAAAATCTTAGTCTCCTTGTCGGCACGTGTATCTATTTTCCTTTGGTAATCTTTATGTACGAAGCATGTATTCCACTCTGTGATACAAACCGACGTAAAACAAAACAGCACAAGCCAAGTTGCTAAGTATCCAAAACAAACAGCAGCATGCACAAGGTGAGCGAGGCAATAAACTGAATACTTTTTATACACAAAAGAGTACAAAGGGACAACAGCGAAACCAGTCACAAAATACAACAATAAGCCAAGTACTCCTATAATTACAAATAGACCCCAAAACAACAAGTATCACAAGAATAGCAAACAAATAATGCAAGCTTCATGGTGTGTATTGTGTGTACAAGTTGCATTAAATCAATATACACACAGAGTCCGAACTTCAGTTGTTGATGCATGACTGTTCAAACCGGTTTTCGCACAGATGTGAAATATTATCTATATACTATATATTATCATCTATCTCTATATCTATCTCTAGTATAACTGACGCTGGATAACTGTAACCACCATTGTCCGATATCTATATCTATCTACTATATATCTCTCTCTCTGGAGCTCTTCTGGCTTGGTGAGTTTGGTCAGCCGGGAAGGAGAGGTGGGTTAACTGACTGCTTTCTGGGGGCATGGCCATTGCAGTCGGGTATCAAACAAGTTTTGTAAGTGTGGTTTTTTATACCACCATCACACAGCTCCACAACACACACAGCCAGCACAGCTCCCCTACGACACACACACAGCACCCCGAGCACACACACACGACCCACACATCACACACACACACACAGCAGCAGCACATACACGCATCGCAAACAGTAGACTAGTGATACCCACACCTAAAGTCTACTAGCGTCTTGTAGCTCGATCGTAATATTAGTTACGTATCGTGATATGTATATAGATAGCTACCCCTAGTATATCATGTGTGATGTATATCTATTATTCTTTGATTATACACTAGCATGTATGTACTATCGCATACCTATGGGTGTATGTATGTATGTACAGTGTGCCGCACTGTGTGCTGTGTGTGTTTCTCTATTTGCGGGCATGTCGCTTTGGCTTCATGCTGTGTGTGTGTGTTCACACGGTACGTGTGCGTGTGTGTGTGTCGTGTGGTGTGTGGATGTGGTATTAGCTTGTGTGTGGTGGTTGGTGTGTGTGGTGCGTGCGCTGGTAGGAGGTATATTTATATATGCGCATATACAGGTATAACTGATACATACAGTATACTTTATGACATTATTCCATATAAATACACACACAGCACACACACACACACACACATATATGTTAGTATAATAGTATACTAGGAGTATAATTATATATGATATATAGTAGTACTTTTATTATGATTATATATATTACCTTAGTACATACGTAGATAAATATATATACCCATATTATATACATATAGGTAGTACATATTATTAAATTAGTATATATATTATATATATTATATTAGAATAGTATATAGTATATATACAGTAATGGCAATTATCATACATATATATATATATTATTTAGTATGTTATATAGGATGGAGCATAGATATACAGTATATGGTTATTATACAGCATCTATTTATATGTAGTATTATATGATTAGTATATATATAGTTTCAGATCTGTATCAGTATATATGCAGTCAGGTATGTATTACCTATGTATGGTGCATATGCGTGTACGTAGTACGTGTGTGCGACTTTTTAATATCCACACACGACAACACGCGCCGAACTTTCTGTCTAATCACGCAAAACGTGATGATGGCACAGTTACACCCGCGCCTGATTCTATTTTCTCCGAGCGACGGCATCTTCCCTTGCCTTCTCAAAGACCGAGGCCAGGGGCGATTGTCTTCTCTGTTCACAAGCCCGTTTTGCCTAAAGCATCAGCCAGAAGGTCAGTCGTCTCGGGGGGTCGCTGGTTGGAGATTTTCCGAGTCAGTGGTCCGGCTTGGCTGCGCTGTCATCTCGTTTTACCTGCTTGAGCGGACTCGGCCGTGTTGGGATTGTTGCATCCGCTATCTCGCTGCGCGTTGTGTGGGCGCTGTTTTGTGATTTTTCTTCTTGTTTTTTTTTTGATGGTCGTTGTTGTCTCTGTTTTGTTTGTCTTTGTTTTTTTGTTGTTTGGTTTGGTTTTGTGTGTTTTTAGTCTTTATTTTTTCATTTGTGTTTTTTAATCTTATCTTTATTTTGTTTTATCATTTTTGTTATTTGATTATCTTAAAATCTAAAGCTCTGGAATCATTGTCTTTTTTTTCGCGTGTGTTTTTAGTCTTTATCTTATTTTGTTCATTTTTTATCTAATCTCATTTGATTTCTTTTTAATCTAAAACTCGGGGATCGTACAAGATTTTTTTTTTTTTTTTTTTTTTACATTTGATGACAATTGGAGAAACAATATTAGCAATAACTCCTGCAAATGATGATAACCACATCGAGAACAATAACGTTATTGATGAAAACCAATAATGTTTACGATAAGATTTTTATATTTACACAGAATCGGATATTGTTAATCTTTTCATTCATTGTTTATATTTTTATTGTTCGACAAGATTAAGAACAAATTAAAAGGAACCACTCTTAAAAAAAACAAAGAATCATACATGACAAACAAATCACAACAAATAAATAATAACAGGAAGGAAACTGATAATTGATATAATCCTATCTTTAAAAAAAAACACAATCCAGAGAGTTAAAAAGCTGTTTGGTCTTTAATGAATCGATTGTTTTGATAACGAGTCTTTTGGTTATTGTTAAATGCTTGTTGAAACTATAAATAGTCTGTTATGATTGATTTTTATATACTGTTTTATATCATGTATTGATGCTGTTCCTGTTTTTGTTGTTGTTGTTGTTGTTGTTTGAATGTGCGCAATCTGTTATTTCAAAACTACAATTCTATTGATTTATGTATTTATAGATTTTGGAAAATTAAAGGGCATTTTATTTTATTATGTGGTATGGGAGAGATCTATTTATAATAGATCTAAAAAATGCAGTTGGCTATTCTGTTTTGTAATTTGTGTCTTCTCCATATCTCTTTTCTTCTCCTCCTCTTATTCTTCGTTTCCCTTTATTCCCCTTTCACCTATTCCTCCCCCTCCCCCTTTCCTTCCTCCCTTTCTTAAACTCCCTTTCCCCCTATCCCTAAATTTCCCTTAATAACAGTGCCCCTCGTTCTGATGGCACCACTCCGGCTGGACGCGGTCGGCCCTGACGCCCCTCGCCACCAGACGCTGACGGTGGTGCACGAGGCGAGAGGCAGCCGGGGACCAGTCGTGGCTCGGGTTCGTCCACAGGCGCTCGGCGAGGGCGGCTCCACGCGGCCACAGCTGGAAGGCGGAGGGGGAGGAGGCGTTAGACTGGGTTTGCTAAGCTTAACGGTTTGGGGGATTTGGGGAGAGGAAATTGCTGGGTGAGTTGTGGTGGATATCATACGGGGAAGTTTGTGGATATTTCATACACAGACAGTCATATGTATATGTATATATATATATATATATATATAAATATTATATATGTGTGTGTGTGTGTGTGTGTGTGTGTGTGTGTGTGGTGTGTGTGTGTGTGTGTGTTGTGTGTGAGTGAGTGTTGTGTGTACGAGTTTGTGTGTATATATATAGATAGATGGATAGATTTATATACATATATGAGCACTGTATATTAGCAGACTGTACACATGTATCATTAAGAGAGGATATTCTGACTCTGTATATCCCCTCACCCCCTCCCCCTCCCCCCCAAAAAATCGTCCCCAAGGCCCCGCACTGACCCTCGAGTCGAGCGTCATGGTCGTCGACCTGCTCGCCCCACAGCGCCGCCTCGCCGCCCAGGATGAGGTCCTCGTGAGCGGCGCCGGTCAGGTCAGTGGCGATGGCGTGCGGGCTGTTGTCGTAGACCTTCTGCCATCCCTTGTAGGGGCTGCACCAGTTGTTGCCCTCGTTGACCCAGCCGCCGAAGCCGCAGTCCAGGTACCAGTGGTCGTAGTTGGAGAAGATGACGCGGAACTTGGCCTCGAGCAGCTCCCTGAATGACCGCTTGGGTGGTCCGTGTCTTGGTCGTCCAGATCTGGGATGACTCGNAAGAAGTCTCTCGAGGTTCCAGGAGGATCCGCGGTACTTGAAGGCTGGCGCGTCAGTCAGAGTCACGGGCGATGCAATCTGCAGATGGACAAAATATCGGCACTTTCTTTTTCCGGCATTTTCTTTAA